GAAAGAGATGAGAGAAAGGTTGGGAGAACAGAATCAGAAGCTCAGAGTCTGAGGGAAGAAATGAGTTGTGCTCATTTCCAGGGTGGAGAGAGCAAGGTTCTGCTTCCCTATCAGAAACCAGGACATAGAAATGGCTTGTGGGGAGCAGAAAATGCCCCCCAAGGTATAAATTGCAAATATAGGAAATATGTTAAAGAATAGAAAAATAAATATCTAATCTCATGCAATATCATGCAGCAGTACTGTTGAATGAAATAGAGCACTATGTGATACTATGGAAATATACCTAAAATATGCTGTTAAGCAAAACAAGCAAGCTGCCAATAATATGCATAAAGCAGTGTGATTTATATCAAAACACATATGCAAAACAGTTTATATGTATACTTATGCACACACACACGGATATACACATTCGTTTATTCAACCAGTAGTGATGGGGTGCTATCCATTCCCATATAGCTTATTTTAGTAAAAACTGCAAACATATAGGGAAAAAAAGGATTGGAAAAATGAACACCAGATTGATGACAATAAAGCAGGAGAGGGAACAAGAGAAACTTTGTTTTTCAGTGGTTTTTTTTAGGTAGACATAATAGTATAATGTATGCTGAGTACCATTGACTAAGCCTCAGTCTCACCCCCCCCTTCACTTACTTGAGCCAGTAAGTACAGTCATTAGACTCACACTCCATCTTCCTTCCTCACGTCCATAGTAAATATCTCCTGAGAACAGCATCAAAGAAAGGTGTAGAGTAGTACAGACTGACAAAGGTCAGAATGTCCAGTAAAAGATGAATAAGTGAAAGAAACAGAAGAAATGATCCAAGAGAAGAAGAGAGAACATGTGAATTGGAAACGCTGACAGAAAAGATGTTGAGAAAGAACTGTCTTGTAAGATAAAGGCATTCAGTGCTTGGCCCAAGTGGTGTAAGATCTGGACTCTTGAGGGCTCCTCAACAGATAGCCTGAGCTCATAAATAAATGCCAGGAGGGGGACTAGAGAAAAGAACATGAATTGGTTATTGAATCATCTTAGGATGTGAAAATGGGTCAGCAGAGGATGCTAAGCTATAGATTTTAGAGGGCTGTGGACATAAAAGGCAAAGACTTCAAATAATGACGAGCAGAGGAAGGGTGGCAGAAATGGCCCAAAGTACAGTTGGTCCTACCACCACCCACCACGGCCCCCCTCTGGTGTTAGTTTTGGAGAAATCTCAGATGAATCCAAGAGCGGGAGGAGGAATTTCTAAAGAGGAGGACTAGATAGGACAAGGATGTGAAGCTAAAAATAAAAGTTGAGAAAACAGTATGTACACTAACTGCATAATGTCAACAATTGTGGGGATGAGACTGGATGCTGCCAACAGGGTGCCTAGGGTGAAAGGGTGGTGCTCTGGGCTCTGGGTGTGGTTAATTGGGAACATTTGGGCAGATGGCAAAAAGGAGAGCCATTCAGGGGAAAGTCAGAATGAGAACCGGGGTGTCCAGTTGCTGTCACTCACATATCAAGGGGCTTCAAAGTGGGAAAATCAAGTTCAAGAGGGTAGAGGCCAATGAACCTGCACACTCATACTCTCACACACACTTTCCTATGCACACCCGGAGATTCCAAATGGGAGGCTGGTAATGAGTCATATCAATAGCAACAATTATTTGACCAGTCAGGTATGTTTATTCTTGACTATGTTACTAAGAGCAGTGAGGATGTGAGAAAGCATCATTTACATATTTGTTTAAAATCTTGCTGTGCTCTGTTAAAAGTTGTGTGCTAAACTATAACTGAGTTCTCTCTTACTAAAGGAAGTTGAGACAGAAGCAGTTTGGAAGGTTTCCTAAAAGTCAACAGTTGCTAAAGAAAGTGTCTCATGAAAGAAAACAATAAGAAATTCTGAAAAAGAAGCTTTAAAAAGCCCCTGCACACTGTAAGGTCAAGGGTTCAAGTCCTAGTCAAGGGCATGTACCTGGGTTACAGGTCTGACCCCCACCCCAGGTTGGGGTACATGTGGGAGGCAACCCATCGATATGTCTCTGTCACATCGGTATTTCTCTCTCTCCCAAACTCTCTCCTCCTCCTCCCTCACTTCCAATCTCTCTAAAATCAATGGAAAAAATACTCTCACTCCTTAGGTGAGGATTAAAGAAGA